ATTTATTTTTTATATATAGCTTAAAAAAAAAAAAAAAAAACTATTAAAACATAAAAAAAAATTAAAAAAAAATTATTTCAAAAAGTAATTATTTCAAACCTTTGGTGCTAAGCATTAGAATAAGGCCACAAGTGTTGGGCTTGTGAATAAATAACATTTCCTAACCATGTTTTAATTATGTTACAAGATTGCAATTTTTATTTGGAAGTAAATACTAATAAAAAGTATTATAGAAGAAAGGTGGCAACAAATGAAAATGAAGTGACAGCTACCCAAAGATACGGCGTCGTTTTTAGAAGCCCTCCACACTTATCCCAATTGTCAACAAACTTCAAACATTAGTCGATTTTATAATTTTATCACTCTTATGTTAATAAATATTTCATCATTCGTCCAAATTTATTTTTATTTTATTTTATTTTTATTGTCATCTAAATTTTTTTCTCGTTTTTCTATTCTAGTAAAAAATATCATTTTTTCTATTTTTTTTTACTCAAAAAAATAATTCTATATTTACTTATTTTTCTTAAAACTTGTGTCCGATCAAATAAACACACAATTTGATAAACGGAGGAGTAATAATAAATTTTTTTTTTTACTTTTTTTACTTATTACTATTTTTAAATCATTTTTTAACAAATTTTCTATAATATATTTACTTTATTTTATATTTATTCTATTTTAATAATAAAATATTATTACTTCTTATAATATTTAACTACTGTTTTTAGATAGAATTGATTTTTGGTGTGAGGGATAAGAAATTGTGTAAAAAATATAAAATATATTATTTTAAGTTAAATATATATATATATTTTACTTTTTGTATTAAGTATTTGAATTTTTTTTTTTACTTTTATAAAAAGTATTTTAAATTGCTTATTATTCTCTCCGTTTCGGCAATTATGTTTATTTTACTGTAGATACGGAGTATAATTAGTAAAATAATTAAAAATATATTAATTAAAATAATTATAGTATAATAAAAATAATTATAGATTAATATTAAAATAAATAATTGATCTAATAAAAATTTAAAAATGTTATAAATTTAAAAATTTTAAATAAAATTAAAGTGTATAATTTTATTATTTTTTTAAAAAAATGCAAAATAAGTAGGACGAACTTAAATAAAAAATTGAATATTATAAATAGAACAGAAAAAGTATTATATTTAGAAATCGAAATTGAAAATTAATGTTGATCGAAAAATTTAAGTAATATATATATATATATATATGTCAACATGAAAGCAGATGAAATATCATACTTGATGAAGAGACCGCAACGAACAATCTACTTTATTTATATTATTTTATTAATTATTGAAAAGATAAAACAAAAAAACATACTCTTCCGTCCATAAATATAATTTTAATTGGGTTATGTACGGGATTGAAAGAATATTGATATTATATTGATAGTTGATGAAAAGTATGGATAAAAATTTTTTTTGCCATTGTAAGTATATTAGTATAAAAAATAGTGATAATTGTGTAATAAAAATAAAAAAATAGGGGTAGTTTTATGGCGATATGGTTATTTATGAAAACAAGATTATTATTTTGGGATCGACAAAAATGATAAACATGACTATTGTAACGGGACAGAGGGAGTATGTTTCGTTTGCCCAAAATTTAAAATTTTTACTATTTGGACTCTGTATTTCTCGAAAAATAATTTTTTTTCTCTCACAAAATATCTAATCATATGTTATTTTAACATCAAATTCAAATTAAATTTTTTTCAAACCCGTCTAAAGAAACATACCATATTTATCTAAAAATGTGGGACCCAAATATAGTATGAAGTGAAAGCGTGTGCTACCAATGTAAGGAAAAGTTGGTACTGAATTTTTGAGGAAGTTTATGGGATGCTTCCTGTCCGTACTTCTTGATTTCATCTTTATTTTAAATTATTTTTATTATTTTATTTATTTATTTATTTTTAGTTTAAATATTTTGACGATTATTTTGGAATTTCTTGGTTGACTGATCCGGAAATAGGTTTGTTTGGAACTCCCTTTTTTCAACCCTAAACATATTTTATATTTAAAATGTCAAATAATATTCCTGTTTGTTAGCACACAACATGTCAATTTTTAAAAATACATCTAGAACATGTCACCATGTAAGGCTGTGGTATTGTTTGATTTTTATTTGAGTTTGAGTTAATATATTTAAATAATATTTTAATGTCATATTTTATAAAAAAATATATACTCCCTCCGTCTTAGATAAAGTAGAAATAAAGGTAAAAGGACTAAATTAATTATATTAGTATTATATGATATAAATGTAATAACATTTGTGTAATATATTGTAAATTGGAAAGATATTTGTAATGTTAGGTAGACTGTACAATTACTAAAAAAAAAAATGAGAAAAATATATAGATTATTAAAGGACGAAGGAAGTATGTATTTTTATCAAAAATTGTATGAACTGAAACTAAAACCAAACATAACCTACAAGTTTCTTTGGATTTTTTAAAAACTTAAATTTTGATTGAAATCATAATTATTTGATATATATTTTATAAGTGAAAAAAAAAAATTAATAGAGAATATATAGATTGAATAGTAAAAAATAAAAATAAAACCTCAAATAAACACATGGGTGTATTATTATTATTATTATTATTATTATTATGGATGTATTTACCAAATAGTTAATATTAAAAAGAAATATAATATATAAATATACTTATACAATCTATATAATATATTACATCTATTTTAAAAAATCAATAATTCAATATAAAATATTGTTTATATTATCATATGTGTTTCTTTATTACTAATATAAAAAAAAAGAAAAAATTAATTAAAAACATTGAGGTTGTGTTGTTTTGTGATTTTGATACAGTTTTTTACTATTCAATTTTTTATTATTCTGTAAAATCATAATCTGCTAGTCGAGTTTGTTAAAATTGTATACCAACTCCACAGATAAATACAAAGATTTTCGATTTAACTCTAATACCAACGGTAATAAAAAATAAATAAAAATATTTGAATAATGCAAGTGAGGAATTACTTTATACCACACCTCTAATTTACATAAAATAATTAATTTTCTATTCATTTAAAAATTTATTAGAAATCTATCCTTATTCCATACATTTCTATTAGAGTCGAATCAACTTTAACACTAATATAATTTTATTTTTTGTTTTTTCGGCCGAGCTCACACATATTTATTTTTGAATATTTTTTTAATATTCTAATGTAAGACTTGAGTTTGCATGCTAACAAATTATATCTCTAATCTTCAATAGATTGTAATTTTAAATAATTTACTAAGGGTGTGTTTGTTTGGGGATTGTATTTTTAATCTACTATTCATCCCATTTTTTTTTCCCAAAAACATCAAATCAAATACCTATTTTTTATTTTTTATATTATACTAAAAATCAATTATACATTCAAAATATCACATCAGCACCTATTTATATCACATCAGCACCTATTTATATAACATCATACAACTATTCAAATTCAAAATTTTTACTATTCAAATCTCAACTCAAAATTCAAACCCCAAACAAACACACTGTGAATATTATCCCAAAACTTAGAACTACAATTGTAATCGATGATTATGTAGAGTCAATATGCAATCTCATTGCAATATTAATAGTCGAAACATATTTATATTCGAGTGCGTATGATATATATTTATCATTAAATTTTAATATATAGAAATTTGCCGACTTTTACTAAATACAGATAGATTATGTAATTTTCAACTAAATGAAAAGAATAAAGGCTTTGTTCTTTCTTTTTTTCGCACGTGTTTTTTTAAAATTAATATACTACACACATTCATTATTATATTTTTATATTTCATACACGATTCGTTATATTTTACGTAAAAAAATTTCTTTTCCAACAATCTCACAAAACAAATACATCCAAATTTTTTTAATAAAAACCATAGATATAATATAATTTTCCCAACACAAAATCAATATAACATTTATGAGTGCATTAAAGGAAATTTTAATTAAAGTTCTTGCTTTTAAATTTCCTCAATCGATTTAATACCATGAATATAGTAGTAATAATCATGTGATGAACAAAATGGAAATAATTAATAAAAAGAACCCAAAATCAAAGAAAGAAATAAAAACATTCGAAAATTTCATCCGACATTATTCATAAATGAATGAGAACATTTTTTTTTCCTAATGTTTGATTTCATTATAGTATTACTAAATATTTTTTTCTTCTCAAAACAACGAACGTTTATTTGATTGTGGTTTAAAATAAATTTGAAATATAATATTTATTTGAGTTTAAATTTAAATAGTCTTCTGATGTGTTCTTTCATAATATATAATAATATATTTTTATTAAAAATTATGTGAATAACATTCATTTTAATTTTAAAGAACAACCAAACACACCCTAAATGGACCTTTCTATAATTCTATTTATACATATAGTTTTAAAATTTTTGATATTATTCATAAATATAATATTTTGACATAAATATCACATTCAATAAACAAAACATTATACTTGTCCGTCCACTTATAAAATTTTAAATTTATAATTTATAAAATTTTAATTAAATTAATTAATTATTTTAATTTATTTTTATTATATAATAATTATTTTTATTAATATATATTTTTATTATTTACTAATTATACTTTTTTTTTATAAGTAATTTTAAAAAATCCTAAAACTTATATGTAAATGGAGAACATGTCTGAATCGAACACAGGAGACGGTGTTGGTGTATGAATATTTGACTTACACACACCTCACCACATCCAGCTGTACATTCCTTTTTCATTTTTCATTATTATTATTATTATTATTATTATTATTATTATTATTATTATTATTATTATTATTATTATTATTATTAATAATTTTTCATTTTTCATTATTATTATTATTATTATTAATTTTTTAATGTTCCCGAAACCGCGTGTTCTAACTTCAAACTCAATCCACCGTTCATATGCAATAAAACCCCTTTCGCTATTTCTCTTCCAATCTTAAAAAAAAAAAAAAAAAACCCAAAATCCCTCCTAATGATTCTGCCATCGGCGCCGCCGCCGCTACTCTCCGCCGCCGTCGCCGTTCTATTCATCATCGGAAATGTCCGATCGGCGATTCCTGAGCAGCAATTCAGAGAAGCGCCGAAATTCTACAACTCGCCGGAATGCGCCCGGCGTCCCGACAGAAACCCCGCCGCCGGCGACACCCAAACCCTCGTGTGCGCCGCCGGCGTCATCCATGTGGCGATGACGCTGGACGCGGCGTACATCCGCGGGTCGATGGCGGCGGTGCTGTCGATTCTGCAGCACACGGCGTGCCCGCAGGACGTGTTCTTCCACTTCGTGGCGTCGGCGTCGGCGGACGCGTCGCGTCTACGCGCCACCATCGGCGGCTCGTTTCCGTACCTGGATTTCGAGATCTACCCGTTCCACGACGCGGCGGTGGCGGGGCTGATCTCGACGTCGATCCGGTCAGCTCTCGACTGCCCGCTGAACTATGCCCGGAGCTACCTCGCCGACCTCCTGCCGCCGTGCGTCCGCCGCGTCGTCTACCTGGACTCCGACCTGGTCCTCGTCGACGACATCGCCAAGCTCGCCGGAATCCCTCTCGCCGGCGACCTCGTCCTGGCGGCGCCGGAATACTGCAACGCCAATTTCACCTCCTACTTCACACCGACCTTCTGGTCCAGCCCTTCCCTCTCCCTCACCTTCTCCAACCGCCGCGCCTGCTACTTCAACACCGGCGTCATGGTCATCGACCTGGCGCGGTGGCGCGCCGGCGGCTACACGACAAAGATCGAGGAATGGATGGAGCTCCAAAAGCGTATGAGGATCTACGAATTAGGATCCCTCCCGCCGTTCCTGCTGGTGTTCGCCGGAAAAATCGCCGCCGTCGACCACCGCTGGAACCAGCACGGCCTCGGCGGCGACAATTTTCGGGGACTTTGCCGGGACTTGCATCCCGGCCCCGTCAGCCTCCTCCATTGGAGCGGCAAAGGCAAGCCGTGGGCTCGGCTCGACGCCAGCCGCCCCTGCCCTCTGGACGCCCTCTGGGCCCCCTACGATCTGCTCAAACCCAAATATTCCTTCGACTCTTAACCCGACCCGACCCGAGAATTGTATATATATGATATACAGAGGAGGATGCAATTTTATTTTTTATTTTTTTGTATTGGTAAGTGTTTCGATTTTTGGAATAATTGCACTGTGGTGCTTCAGATCATTTTTTCTGTTTTATTATTATTTTTATTGTTAATTTTGTACAGAAAATTTATTGATTGATATTTTTTGAGGAAAGAAATAACAATAATTGTTGTTTATAGTAATGTTTTCTATTTTAAGCTGCGTCTTTTTGTAGAACGGCGTCCGATTATTTTATTTTTTTTTATTGCCAAAGTACATTTATATTACATTCCATAGATCTAAAAGACCTGGAAATTTTAGTGGACATTATAAATTAAGGTGTGATTTGTAAAATTCCAGAGTACTGGGGTACGGACTTGGATTAGTTTTACTATGTATATATATATATATATATATATTTTTTCATAGAATTTAAAGTATATTAGTATTATATTGATGTGTAATATGAATAAATTTAAAATAATTAAAATAATTTTATTAATATGGTATGATATAGAAGTAATAAAATTTGTGTCATATATTATAAATCGTAAAAATATTTGTAACGTTAAGGAGATAGTACAGTTACTAAGAAAAAAAATAAATATTTTTATAGAGGGACCAAAATGAAAAAACAAATAGTTTGTTAAAAGACGAATTAAATATTATTTATTAATAATATTTTTTTTAAAAAAAAGATAGTACATAAAATAATTATTTTTCTTACATAATATTACTTTAAATCCATTTACTATTAAAAAAAAAAATAAAAAAATCTAAGCTTCGAAATTCTAGAAATCTCCATGTAAATTGAGCTTTAAATATGTTTTGCGGCAGTTAGGATATTAATTGAGTCAAAATTACTATCGTAGTAATTTGATGTAATTAATACATATAATTAATACATTTGCACATGCTTCGTAATCTCTTTAGCGCATTTAAAGAGATTCAATGAATTTTATAATAAATTAAAAAATAATAATATTTTATTGGTCGATGAAAATATATAAGAAGTTTGAATATTTTTGCTTTTTATCCTTATTTATAACATAATTATATGTGTAATAGTAGTTGTAATTTAAATAAAAGTTAAAAATATTTTAATAATAATATATGGTTATTTTGTCTTAAAAAAATGGATACTTTTGAATTTAATGGACGAAAATGGTAAAAACATAATTTAAATTAAGACGGAAAGAGTATAGCATAATATAATGTGTCATATAAAAGTATGTATTGTGCAATTTAATTTATATATTGTAATATCTTGAAATCAAATAATATACTCTCTCCGTTCCAGATACAGTGTCTGCTACACTGTAGACACTGTATTTTTAGGAGGGGTGTAATTAGTAGATAATTTAAAATGTATCAGTGAAAATAATTATCCTATAATATAAATAATTATAAATTAAGATTAAGATAACTAATTAGTTTAATTAAAATTAAAAAAAATTAAAAAATTTAAAATGAGATTAAAGTGTGTAATTATTTTAAAAAAAATGACATGGTATGTGAGACAGACAGAAACGGCAACGTGGACATGGTACCTGGATGGAGGGAGTATTATATTATATATAATTATATAATGTATTATAAAAATATGCATAACATTTTGTATTATCATATTATGCCTACTTTCTTCTTTTATTAAATGTATTGACCCCAAAGACAACTTCAAATCTTATTTTATGATGAATTATCTATTGTAGTAATTCAAATTGAAAGGATTCATTTTTTTTAATGTATATTTTTTATATTAAATATAAGAAATTATGTAATAATATAAACAATAATATTTTATATTAAATTATTGATTTTGTTTTATAAATGGATATATATTATATATATAATATTTATAAGAAACCCATTGTTGCACAAATAAATTGTAATGCATATGTTGTTTGCTCCAATTATTTATATGCTATATATTATTTGCATAAATATTTGAATTTATTCTTTTTAATGTCTACACTATTTACAATATTATTTTTTTCATACTTTTAATAATAATATCTTCTTCTTTTTTCTTCATATATTTAATAAAAAAATATTTTTTTTTCCAAACAATATCACAGTACTACATACACTTTCGCAACTCTTAAAAACTCAAAACAAAAATCACAGAAAATTTAAATAATAAAATAACATAAAATATCGTGCTTATAAATTTTAAATATATGTGTGTATATATACTTTCCAACAATGACATGCTTTATGCTTTCAATCACATTCACTATGATTAATAAAAAATAATTTAGTCCCAAATTTTGTATTCACACATGATTCGTTTAGTGTGATTTATCTAGCCATATTTAGTTTACAAGTTATTAGGTTCTGTCGAAAATTTGCCCAAAATGTACTAAAAAAATAACCGGCAGTAAATTCTCACGTTAAAAAATAATAATAATAAAATTTAGTCTCCGGCTAACTAAGGGTTGATTGAATTGACATAGTATGTAAACTTGTGATTATATGATCATGAATTGAAATCGTCCCGATGCTTTTTTAACCGCATGATTTGTTTGCTATAATTTACCCAAAAATTTTAATGCTCTTTAAATATGTATATATATATATATATATATAATATTTTATCTCATAAAATATCATTTAAAATTTTTTAAAACTTATTACGCTTTGAACGTGTATGGATAATCCTTAATGGAGCGTGATAGATTTGAACCAGTGATTTTATAATCATTAGTCATCTTATTACATCAATTCGACCACTTCTTACGAGGCAAATCGTGTGTTATATTGTTCCCATGCAAACTTCCACGTCTTATTAAAATGGCCATGAAAATCTTATAATCAAGTCCAATATTATGGATTTACTAAATAGATGTTTATTTATTAAAAAATTACAAATATATTATTTTTTTCTTATAAAATATTTTATCCTAATTATTATTCAAATGAAAAATTGAAATGAAAAATACACCTCTCTAAGAAAGGCAGCTTTCAGTCCATGTGAAGGGCACATCAAAGGATGTTAATTAATTAGCTTTAAGGCACCAAGATCAAATAATTAACAAAATATATTATTCCAATAAAACAATAACAACACTTCATTATACAATTATGGGATGAAAAAATATATGATAAAATAGTTTTATTAAATTAATAAATTTGATTAAATATGATGATCTTATATATCGATTTCATCCACTACAAGAAATTATCAATTTTGTAACGAGATTTTTTTGTTACTAAATTCACTTTTTCTGTTACTAATGATATTAGAGACGGAATTAGAGATGAAATTACGTTAGCTACGTGAACTTTAGGAACGAAATTCCGTTACAAATATACTAATTTTTTTGTAGCGATCACATGGGAGAAAGTAGATTTACAATCATCTATCCTATCCAATTAATTCATGTTCCCCACCACTCTTCACTTTTTCTTGCATTTTATTATTGACAACTTTATTCATTTCAATTTTTTCTTATGAGACATAAATAGATGTCACTGTCCAAAGATAATAATAATAATAATAATAATAATAATAATAATAATATTTGCAGAAATAAAATAAAGAACTAACACATGCCTGAGAATGACTTGTCACTGTTAGAACTTTGAAAGTGAAGATCATAGACTTGAATATACAAAATTGTCCGTATATAGTTTGTTTTTTTTTTTAAAAAAAAAAAGAGTGAAAAAATTTTACTCTATGATATTGAACTTATTTTGGAAAAACTGTCGGTAGATTATATATATATATATATTACACATGGTGGAACTTGCGAGGAATTTAACTTTTAACCTCAAGATCTGTTGTGTCGAAATAATTGAGATGAAAAATAAAGTAAATAAATCTAACCTGATTACTTACGAAAGTTAGATTCGGATCTACTAATTATGAAGAATTTTGTAAAAAAATCTTCAAGCCTATGATGCAATCTTTTATGTCGTTACTTTGATGATGGGATATGAAAAGTAATGAATATTGCATCTAAATTTGGAGTATTTATACGTCATTATTAATTGGTATCATCATTCAATTAATAATTTACTCGACATATAGGAGATATGTACTAATTAAATACATTTAAATCCAATAAATTTAATATATCACTTTAAATAAGCTTAATCTGTATATAACTCAAATAGTTACATATAGAATTTTTTTTAATCCAAATAATCTCTCACTTTGTAAATATACATTATATACTCCCACTTGTATTTTATTACTTGAGCTCATAATATTATATAAGGGATTTAAAAAATAATTTATTTATTTATTTTTAATTTAGAAGCTATGCTACAATTTAGATGAATTGCCCAAGTCGAGGTCTATTCTTGCACAGTTACAACTGTTGTAGGGGCCATTTGCTAATTTTATATTTTTATTTCAAATTTTTTTCAAAATAAAAATGAAACTTAGATGCAATGCTATTTAATATCTTTGAATTTAACCTATACTATATATATATATATATATATATTATACTTTGATCATGACTTATAAAAAAAAAAAAAAAAAATCACTTCAAATTGAAGTAGACATGGATAGGATTTTTATTTGCATTGTTTCAAAGTCGAAAATCACTTAGGACAATTTTTGGATTACAAACTCAATCGATAAGATGTTGACAAGGACAAATTTGAACGATGATCAAACATTCACTAGTTATTACATCACATCAATTCGACTACTCCTTACATGAACTACATATATGTTAAAGAAGGGATCCAAAAAAGTTGCCGATGCTGCCGATTTAATGTCCTCGAAAAACGATCTCTTTCCCGCACATGATCGCGGGCATTATTCTCACAAAATTCGAATCGATTCAATACAAAAACTATTGAATCGATCATTTGGGTGCTCTTTCCCTCCAAAATCCAATTCTTTTTCAATGAAATGAAAATTATGGAGTAGGGTTTTATATAATCGGCTGAAGGATCGATTCAATAGTTGTTGTAACGAAACGACTCGAATTTTGCGAGAATAATCTCTATTGTATGCGGGAAGAGATCGTTTTTCGAGAACATTGTGTTAAAATTAATTTTCGTAAACCTCATAATTTGATTGTATTAATCATCAAAATAAGAACATATATATATATATTGGCACTATGAAAGAATAGACTCAGAACAACTTAATCTATGTATAATTTAAATCTGTCAAATCTAAAATAAATTAATCAAACTAATCTAAATAAATATTAAAATAAATCTAAATCTAAAATATCTCAACATCCCGTCAAACTCAA